AGGCTGCAGTGGCCGGGAGCGGCCACTGCACTCCAGTCTGGGTGACAGAGTGAGACTCTAACTAAAAAAATAAATAAAAAATAAAAATTAGGCATGATGGCATGTGCCTATAGTTTCAATTACTTGAGAGGCTGAGGTGGTAGGATTGCTGAGCCCAGGAGTCAGTGGCTGCAGTGAGCTATGATCACATCACTGTGCTCCAACCTGGGTAACAGAGTGAGACCCTAGCTCAAAAAAGAAAAAAAAGAGAATGGTATTCTGATATATGCTTGCAATGTGGGAGAACCTTGAAAACATCATGCTGCTGCACGCTGTGGCTAACACTATAATCTCAGCTCTTTGGGATGTGGAGGTGAGAAGATTGCCTGAGGCCATGGGTTAGAGACCAGTCTGGGCAACATACAAGACCTCATTTCTACAATAAATAAAAAAAATTAGCCGGGCGTGGTGGCACACACCCATAGTTCCAGCTACTTGGAAGGCTGAGGTGGAAGGATCACCTGAGCCCAGCAGGTTAAGGTAGTAATGGCTGTGAGCGTGCACACTGCACTCCAGCCTGGGTGACAGAGTGAGACTCCAACTAAAAAAAAAAAATTTGCTAAATGAAATAATCCAGACAACCCAGAACAAATATTGTGTGATTCCTATTATATGAGATACCTAAAATAGTCACTTCATAGAGAAAGAACAGTCGTTACTTGGGTCTGTGGGGGAAGGGTGGAATGGGAAGTTATGGTTTAATGGGTATAGAGCTTCAGTTTGGTATAATGAAAACATTCTGGAGATGGATGGCTGCGTTACAAGATGAATGTACTTAATGCCACTAAATGTACCTTATGCCACTCTGCTTGAAAAGGGTTAAAATGGTCAACTTTAGGTGTATTTTACCACACACACAGAAGCAACATTAGGAGATCTAAACTGTGCTTCATCCAGCCAAGTGTCCATATGATACAAGCACCAAGGAAACTATTATAAAAAAAAATACAGATGTTCATGTAATATCACTTAAGGGTCAGTAAATAAACAAGGTACAAAGTTATGTGTGTGTGTGTGTGTTTGGTAAGTACTTTAAAGCCATATTTTTTTTCAGTAAGTAGATTATATATGAACATGTCAAATCTACTGTAATTTCACCTACTCAGGAGGCTAAGGCAGGAGAATTACTTGAGCCCATGAGTTCAAGAACAGCCCAAGCCGGGCTCGGTGGCTCAGCCTGTAATCCCGCGCCTTGGGAGGCTGAGGTGAGTGGATTGCCTGAGCCTGCGGGTTCGAGACCCGCCTGGGCAACTTGGCGAGACCTCATCTCTACAATAAATCAAAAAATTAGCCGGGCATGGTAGCGCGCACCTGTAGTTCCAGCTACTTGGAAGGCTGAGGCGGAAGGATCGCCGGAGCCCAGCAGTTCGAGGCTGTGGTGGCCGGGAGCGGCCACTGCACTCCAGTCTGGGCGACAGAGTGAGACTCCAACTCAAAAAAAAAAAAAAAGAATAAAACAAAAACCACATATTTATCTCAGGAGGCAATGAAAATGCATGTGAAAAAATGCAATACCCCTTTGTGATAAAAACACTCAATAAACCAGGAATCAAAGAAAACTTCCTCAACCTAAGTCACCCATGAAAAACCCACAGCAAACATCACAGCTAATGATGAAAGATAGATTTCCTCCTAAGGAATAAGACAAATATGCCCACTCTCACCACTTCTGTTTGTTATGGATTCAGCGTCTTTCATTAAACCTCATGAGCCCACCCCTGCTAGCTTCAAACTTGTCTTCTGTAACTTCTTCACCTTTCTCAGCCTTCCTAGAATTGAAGAGAGTTAGGGCCTTGCTCTGGCTTAGCTTTGGCTAAAGGGAATGTCATGGCTGGTTTGATCTTCTATGTAAACCACTCAAACTTTCTCAGTGTCAGCACTAAGGCTGTTTCACTTATTCATGTTCTCTGGAGTAGCACTTCTAATTTCCTACAGGGAATTTTCCTTTGCATTCAAAAGTCGGCTCACGGGTGCAGGGACTCAGCTTTTGGCCTATCTTGACTTTTGACATGTCTTCTTTACTAAGCTTAATCATTAGAAATGAAGCTTTTTATTTAAAGTGAGCAGCATGTGACCCTTTCTCTTGAACACTTAGAGGCCACTGTAGGGTTAATTAATTAATTAGTTAATTGAATAAGAGTCTCACTCTGTCACCCAGTATTTAAAACTGTTTTGGCTCAAAACAGTCATTTTTGAGAATACCGCAGCCTCAATTTGCTGGACTCAGGCAATTCTTCCTCCTTAGCCTTCCAAATAACTGAAACCACAGGTGTGTGCCACCACGCCCAGCTAATTTTTCTGACCTTTGTAGAGACGAGATCTCACCAAGCGGCCCAAGTACAACAAGATAGAATTTTTTAAAATATCCAGGAATGTTGTAGATAGTCTATGTAAGTTGTCATGAGATTTATGAAGGGAAATTTATGAGAGGAATTTTTGTATGTAGTTGTTGGTTGTAATTGAAAGGAAATTGTAATAGTCTTTCTGAATTTTGTTTCTTTGTGGTAGAATGGAGTTTTCTTGGGTATTAATTTGCTCTTGGTAAGATTGCAAGCAATTCTGACATTTGGTTCTATAGTCTGTTTCTTTTTGGAGAATTTTCAGACTTGTGCTTCAGACGTTCAACTTTTTTTTGAGTTGGAGTCTCACTCTGTCGCTCAGACTGGAGAGCAGTGGCTGTTCCCGGCCACTGCAGCCTCGACCTGCTGGCCTCCGGCAATCCTTCCGCCTCAGCCTTCTGAGTAACTGGAATTACAGGCATGCACTACCACGCCCAGCTGATTTTTTTGATTTATTGTAGAGATGAGGTCTCGCCAAGTTGCCCAGGTGGGTCTCGAACCCGTGGGCTCAGGCAATTCACTCACCTCAGGCTCCCAAACACGGGATTACAGGCTGAGCCATCAAGCCTGGCTAGAAGTTCAACTTTTATTGTCTTGCTGCTTTCAGCTTTTTTTTTCCCCCTTAGGTAATCTGAGATAGTGACTCTCTCCTGGATTCACAAGATCTTTTCACCTGAGCCTCCCAAGTAGCTGGAACTATAAGCATGTGCCACCACACCTAAATAATTTTGCAACTTTTTGTTAGAGATGAGGTCTCAGTATGTTTCCCTGGCTGGTCTTGAATTCCTGGGCTCAAGCAATTCTCTAGCATCAGTCTCCAAAACTGCTGTGATTATCTCTTTATTGATATTCTCTATTTAATGCAACATTTTCATTATACCACCTTCTTCTCATCTTCCTCCTCCTTCTCCTTCTTCTTTATCTTCTTCATTTATTATTTAAAAAATACAACTCAGGCAGCCGGGCGTGGTAGTGCATGCCTGTAATTCCGGCTACTCGGAAGGCTGAGGCGGAAAGGATCGCCGGAGCCCAGCAGGTCGAGGCTGCGGTGGCTGGGAGCAGCCACTGCACTCCAGTCTGGGCGACAGAGTGAGACTCCAACTCAAAAAAAAAAAAAAAAATACAACTCAGGAACAGCCAGATGGAAGAGACACATAGGGTAGGGTATGAGGGGAAGGAGCATGGGGCTTCCATGTCCTCTCCAGGTACACCTTCCTTTTAGCACCTCTACATGTTTAGCAACCTGGAGTTACTTATTTAATTGTGGTTTTCTTTAGTTGTTTGAACATGTTTATGAGTGCTACTTTGAATGACTTGTTTGTTAAAACTGACAGCTGGCAATTTCTTTCCCTGCATTTTCCCTTGATGTATGGGTCATATTTTTCTGTTTCATTGTAGGCCTCATAATGTTGGGTTGAAAATGTTTTATTTTAGTTTAATTGAGTTTAGATTAGTTTTTGAAAATGTTTTATTTTAGTTGAGTTGAGTTTAGATTAGTTTTTGAGTCAGAGTCTCACTCTGTCGCCCAGGCTGGAGTGCAGAGGCACGCTCACAGCCTCCGCAGCTGCTGTGCTCAGGTGATTCTTCCACCTCAACCTTCCAATTAGCTGGAACTATAAGCACATGCCACCACTCCTGGCTAATTTTTTGATTTATTGTAGAGATAAGGTCTTGCCAATTTGCCCAGACCGGTCTCAAACCCGTAGGTTCAGGCAATTCTCTCACCTCAACCTCCCAAAGTGCTGGGATTAGAGGCAAGAGCCACCTCACCTGGCCTGAAAACTGGATACTTTAGAAAATATATTGTAGCAACTCTGGGTGCTGGTTTCTTTTATCCCCACCCCACCGTGGTGCATTTTAATCTCTTTTCACTTCATTCCCATTAAGCCTCTAATATTGCTTATCAGAGCCTCAGTCTTGGATACGCCCACTTACCCTCTGATGACAGTGGTTTGATCAGGGCTCTCTTTACTATCTCTTTCCTTGATTCCACCCAGCCCTTAAGCTCCACTACTTGCAGACTGATTACTATTATTTTAGCCAATGCCCCAGGGAATGAATTACTCCAAAGCCTTATCCCATCAAATTTGGGATCTTTCAAAGGGATAGTTCTCAAGGTCAGTGAGATTTGTTCTGATCCTAGAGGGTTCCTTCCGGCTGTTCTCTTATGCTAACTAGTTAGTCTGTAGTTTAGCCTATATCTGTGCTCTTAGACTAATTAGTTGGCCTGTAGTTTAGCATGTATCCCCAATGAGTCTACCAATTTTCTTCCATTTTCCTTTCATGACAACCTTTC